GGTTAATATATTATGATAGTTAATTAAATTTTATATAAGAATTTTAATAAGAATTTTATTTGACATTATGGATCCCTTCAACTGATTTTGGTTTCTTTCTTGAATGGTGTCCAATATCATCATCATCATCATGGATCCCTTCAACCGATTTTGGTTTCTTTCTTGAATGGTGTCCAATATCATCATCATCATCATTTTCTCTATATTTTTTTAACTTTCCGGTTATAATCGATAACATCAATCCTTTGTATTCAGATCTCGTCCATTGAGGTGCGTTTAATGGAGCAGTTTCCTCTCCCAGAGCATACTGAGAATTATCGAAAACTCGTTTTCGTCTTCTTTTATCAACTGTTTGCTGATAAAATAATACGTCCAAATAGTCTCTTAAAAACATTCGCAACTAAAAAATACATTCAGATTACCAAAGTAGCTAATATAATGTACAATTTGCAAAAATTATTTACTTACGCAATCACTTCTCCACTTGATATCTCGTATTATAATACGATTTTCATTTGAATCATTGTCTGAATCAACTTCAGACTTCTCCGGACTATGATACGCATTTTCTAACATGATTGGATTGAGTTCCGATTGCTTTAACTTTGAGACAATTGGATTGTCTAATAGTTGTAAATGTCTGACCATGTTCGTTCGTCTTATTCGTTTCTATTCTCTCAATTTTAATGGCTAATTAGCTAATGTTTCATAAATAAACTCAATTAATATAATATTACCTCGCTTCAGCGTGAATTGCCATATTTTCTTTTGGTTTCTTCAGTTCGCTCAGATTCGGATTTCTCTTTTTTTAATAAATCTTTTCTCTGATGGCGGTGGCGCTGATGAATCATTTCGTATAGCACGCCTTCGCTAACTGGATACGCGTTGGTATCTAACACTTTGAATAGAGCGGGAATGATTATTTTCGTTACCAGATCCTTCTGCGACTCGAAAGTTTTATTGATGTCGAGTTAACTGCCTGTAGGCATTCGTTTGATATTCCATTTTACTTCTCGATAAATATTTATTTGTGTTAGTTTCATGCATTTAAATAAATTAGAAATTAAATAATTACTTACACGCAAGTTATCTTTCGTATCTTTTGGTAATTCTGTTAAACTGTGATAAGTTACTTTCCTGGGAGCAGCTGGACTAGAATCAGTTTCCAATCCGCTAGTTCTCTCTAAACTTGAATTTGACCGAGAATCTGATCAAGAAGTTGATTGTTTTCGTTTTCTTTGCTTCTTAGACTTCTTAGATTTGGATTTCTTTTTGCTATTCTTGCTATTTTTTTTTGGTTGGTGGCTTTCATCATTGGAAGAAATGACCTCAGTAGATTTGTTAGAAGCTTTAATGGAAGATGATTTCTTAGACTTCTCGGGCATCTTGGATTTCTTTTTACTTGGTTGATGATCTTTTTTACCGCTCTCATCATCAGAAGAAACAAATCCGGTGGGTTTGTTCCTAAAATCTTTAATAAATAATGATGATGATGTATCCTGGAGTTTGGCACTCGATTCTGGTACCTTTGATGTTTGCTCTTTACCGCTCTCATCATCAGAAGAAACAAATCCGGTAGGTTTGTTCCTGGAATCTTTAATAAATAATGATGATGATGTATCCTGGAGTTTGGCACTCGATTCTGGTACCTTTGATGTTTGCTCTTTACCACTCTTATTATCAGAAGAAACAAATCTGGTGGGTTTGTTGGAAGCTTTAATAAATAATGATGATGTATCCTGGAGTTTAGTATTTAATTCTGATATCTTTGATGTTTGCTCTTTTTTACCGCTCTCATTACTATCAGAAGAAAAAATTTCAGTGGATTTGTTTGAAGCTTTAATGGATGATGATAATGTATCCTGGAGTTTGGTGCTCGATTCTGATATCTTTGATGTTTGCTCTTTACCGCTTTCATTACTATCAGAAGAAACAATTTCGGTAGGTATGTTAGAAGTTTTAATGGATGATGACGATATATCCTGGAGTTTGGCGCTCGATTCTGACATCTTAGTTTGATTATCTTCATCATATTTCCTCAAACATTCTAGCAAATATGTCAACCGATTGCTTTCACTAGTAGAAATTTTTGAATTTTTTTCTTAAATGAAAAATTGGTAAATAGTTAGTTCGTTAAATAGTTTCATATCGTTAACGAATAGACGATAAATTATTGAGGTTTCGTTAAATACTCAGATAATCGTTAACAAAATAGACGAAAAAGCGTTAAATAGTTTCATATTATTAACAAATAGACGATAAAATTGTTGAGATTTCGTTAAATACTCAGATAATCGTTAACAAAACAGACGAAAAAGCGTTAAATAGTTTTATATTGTTAACAAATAGACGATAAAATTGTTGAGGTTTCGTTATTATACATAAATATGTTACACAGTACAGAATGTAACCGATTGGAATGAAGCTTACTAATTTCGTAGACATGCTCCAATTCAGAGGCAAAACCAAATGGAATGGACTATTCTCCCTTTCATTGGTATGACTTTGGGTGCGACTTTTGGTATTTGATCTGGTACGGCTTCTGCCAGTTCGATGATGTGATCTGGTTCAGCTTCTGCTGGTTCGACGACTTTTAGTATGTGATCTGGTACGGCTTCTGCCAGTTCGATGATGTGATTTGGTTCGGCTTCTGCTGGTTCGACGACTTTTAGTATGTGATCTGGTATGGCTTCTACCTGACCTATCACTTTTATGACTTTGTTCCATAATAAGAGATTATTGTAAAAGAATTATTATTGTACCAAAAATTAACAAACGAGAAAAAGGGAGAATTTTTTTTTTAAGAAAAAATGGCTTTTTTATGTCTATTTTTTTTATCAGTTTTTCTTTTGATCAATTTAATTACTCCGGATATACGATTAAGCTAACTTATACTATTAAACTATTTAACTTATATTATTAAACTATTTTCCAAACAAATCGAGTGATATAATCTAATATTATACTAAACTTTGCCAATTTCAAAAAAAATCGGAATAATTAATCCAATACTATACTAATTTTANGAATAATTAATCCAATACTATACTAATTTTACTTAATTTTCCAAACAAATCGAATGATATAATCTAATACTATACTGAATTTTGCTTAATTTTCCAAACAAATCGAATGATATAATCTAATACTATACTGAATTTGCTTAATTTTTCAAAAAAATCAGAATAATTAATCCAATACTATACTAATTTTACTTAATTTTCCAAACAAATCAAATGATATAATCTAATACTATACTGAATTTTGCTTAATTTTGAATAAATCAGAATAATTAATCTAATACTATACTAAATTTACTTAATTAATATGAATTTTATACCGATTGATTAACATAACAGTGAACTTTCAGTATTAAGAAAATTATTGAGTCAATTCCGATATAACGCGTACCAATTCTATCTTGAATAATAAGTTATAATCTGATATATTGCAATTGATAATAATATGCCACCAAAACCTGCAATCAAACCCAGAAAAAAGTCTCATGTCATTGTAATGAATGTAACGGAAAATTAGTTGATTCAAGAACAAAAGTAAAACACGAGGCTGAATATGAGCAAATGAATCGTTCATCAAGATCTACAAAGGTCAGTAAATTAGTATCAAAGCGAGTTCAAATAGACAATAATGATGATGAAACTTCAAACGCATCCTCAAGTTCATCGGGTTCATTAAGTTCATCAACATCTGAATTGCAAGAACCAATTCACATCCTGACTAAACGAAAAAGAAAAGAGAAATTTAAAGCAGTGGAATCAGCTGTTAATGATGTATTGATTGATGAACTTGATAACGAAGATACTGGCTTCAGCTCACCGATTGATGAAGACCAAAGTGAAGAATTGAATGATGAAACTTCTGATGATGAAAGATTCGCTGCTCCTGAATTAGAGGATTTTGGCGATAATGAAGATTTCATATGTGCTGATTCAGATGTAGAATTTTCTGAATCTTGGATACTTATATGGATATTTAAGTATCAATCAAGATTCCGTCATTCCAAAGTTTCCATATCTTCCTTGATTGGATTCTTTAGCCAAGTATTGAAAGATACTGATACAAAAAGATTTGCTAATTTACCATCCTCATCCTATTCTGCAAAGAAATTGCTACGCATTAACAAGAAAACAAAAACATATGCTGTGTGCCAGAAATGTAACAATCTGTATAAAATTGGGGAAATTTTAGGACAAAATGAACAAGTAAAGGAAGCGTCACCAGGACTCAAGTGTAGTCAAGTTGAGTTTCCTAAACATCTGATGAAAAAGTATAGGAAGGTTTGAAGAGAGAAATTGCTAAAGAACGTTCCAGTAAATAATGGTTATATAAAGCGTCCTCGCATAGTATTCCCTATGCCAGATTTAAAAACACAAATTTTTACTATGTATCAACGTCCTAATTTAGAAAAAAATTTAGCAAAATGGGCAAATCGACATGTTAACGGAGATATATTAGCAGACATTTATGATGGAGAGGTTTGGAAAACATTCAAGTCAGATGATACCCTATTTTTTACGCCCGAACTCGCTGATTCTAATCTAGGAATAATGATTAACCTCGATTGGTTTCAACCTTTCGATTGAACAATATATAGCACGGATGTGATTTATGGGGTAATATGCAATCTTCCTCATGAAATCTGATTTAGACAGGAGAATATGCTAATCCTAGGACTACTTTCAGGACCGCACGAAGTACATGCAGATAACATAAATCATTTTTTATTGCCAATTGTTATGGAATTACTCGAATTTTGAACAGGAGTTATTATAAAAACACTGAATAATCCAACTGGCAAAACAGTACGAATGGCAATTATCTGTTGCAGTAGCGATATTTCTGCTGCAAGAAAATTATGCGGCCATATATCAGCGTTGGCAGCTTGTCATCGGTGCTACAAATGAGCTAATAATGGTAATTTTGGTAATTTTGATGATATGACTGATTGGTTTAAACCAAGGGATTTAGAAAATTTCCGACAAAATGCTATTGCATGGCGTAATTGCAAAACAAAAGATAAAAGAAATCAGCATATTTCAAATAATCTTGTTAGGTGGACAGAATTGTTAAAATTACCCTACTTCAATCCAATCAGACATTGCGTCGTAGACCCAATGCATAATTTATTTCTCGGAATTGCCAGTTGGATTGTAAAACGTTTATGGATTGATAGAGGAAAAATATCTAAGAACGATCTTAAAATTATGGAAAAACGAGCGGAAGCTATTAAACTGCCAGCCGACATGGGTTGAATTCCAAATAAAATATCGACAGGAGAAGGTTTTTCTGGATTCACTGCTGATCAGTAGAAAACCTTCATTTTGGTGTATTCAACACCAATAATGTAGGATTTGCTATCAGTGAATGATCGTGAAATTTTAGGAAATTTCGTAAGAGCCTATTTCTTGTTGGTTTGCCGAATCATTAATACCAATGAAATAAATAAGGCCCATAACAGATTACTCAAAATTGGTCAATTCATTAAAGAACATTATGGTGAAAATTTAATTACACCAAATATACACCTTTCTTTGCATATAGCCGAATGCTGTTGTGACTATGGTCCAATATACTCTTTTTGGTGTTATTCGTTTGAACGAATGAATGGGATCTTAGGTAAATATTTTAACAATAAATGTCTCGGATTTTAATTAATATATCATAAATTTGCCCTTTAGGTTCCTATCCCAATTCAAAACGATATATTGAACCGGAATTGCTAAGAATTATTGTGCAGAATTGCAGAATCAATGATCTTATATCTATTCAATCGGGCAAAAAGAAGCTTGTTAATGGTCATAAGTTAATTGAACCTCGGCAAACAACTGGTTCATTAGCAGCATATGATGACCTCAGATCAAAAAAATTAGTGCAGTTAAAACGGATTTTCTGCAGCAAATTAGAAGATAAGATCACTGGCAGTGAAATTTATCCAGGCAATTTATTAAGTCCAATTAAAAACCGTGTTGATTTACCCGACAATTTGTATGAACAGTTGATTACTTATTATAATGAAGTTTATGGTGAAAAGATGGATGTTGAATTCGGCTCCATGTCAAATCTGATCAGTCGAGGTTTACAGAATGATTCGTATGTAGTTGTTCAACCAATAATTAATCAATGCGGAAGAATTTGAGTGGCAGCTAAAATTTTTAGATCCGCGCTAGCACCTCGATATAAGAAAAATTCTTATATTTTAGCAAAATTTACCCAAGATAATGAATCGATAGAATTATACCCAGGAATGGTGCAATTTTATTTCAAGCATGTATTGCGACTTCCAACTATTGGTGAAAGAACGCACAAACTTGCTTACGTCAAATGGTACCTACCAGTGTTGGCAAATTTTGAGGTCATTTCACTTTTTTGAAATGACCTTAGGTCATTTTGTATATGATCACGTGATATATTTATGGTAAAATCATGACGCAATCAGGTCATTAAAGGTTATTTCAAGGTCATTTGCCAACACTGGTACCTACCGGTTAATGATCATTGAATTAGATTTTACTGCTGAGCTGAACAGGATGATGACCGCAGTGTTAATATTGAATTCTGGAAACTTAATGAATTTTATGAAATGTCTTGTGATAGTATAATTCCAATTCATAATATTTATAGCCAGTTTATTCCTACTAATTTTACAATTAGAACAAATAACAATAACAATAACAGCAGATGGAAGGCGAAAACTTATATGGCAGTAGTACTGATTAATAGGAAGTTCCATTTATAATTTCTATTATTAATAAATCGTAATAAATCAGTTATTTTATTTTATACTTGCCAAGTATACTTAGTAAATATTCATATCAAATGTATTGTCAAATATTATAAATTCAGTAAAATAATGTAATATATATGTATGGTATTATTAGACCAACAGAGTAATTTATAGCTACCAATCGGTTTATTCCTATTGGATTCAGTTTCACATATAGTAATAAACCAAATGATGACTATTGAATAATTACCTAATTTATTTAAATTAATAAATCCTTTCAATCCGGATAGCCTAAATTTTTACATAGTTATCAATCGGATATATGCCCTATTGATTACTAATTTTTGGCTAACCTATTAGTTTAATAGTTACCAATAGGGTATATACCCGATTTTTTAGCTTTCGGCCTGTGAAAGTAAAGCCAATTTATTAAATATTATTAAATTTATTATATTTTTAATACTTTTACACTATATTATATATAAAATAAATATTATATTTATATATATTCAAATTATTGATAAATATATAATTTAACATTTAATATTAGTATGATGAATTACTTATACAAGCCACTGTATTTATTACTATATAAAATGATTAATATATTATATATTTTATTTATTTATAAGTGGAGAAGTAAGTAAGCTTTTATATTAAAGTAATATTTCTAATTAGAGTCTAATGAATTATAATTTATTAAAAGTTAAAAGTTTAATCAAAATAAATCAAATAGTAATAAATCATATTAATATTATTAATATTGATTATTTTATTTTTGCTTAAATGTTTAGATATTTCAATGATTTTATACCATTCAATTCATTTTATTAAAGAATTCAAATAATATATAATTATATTTGTAACTTTAATGTTAATAAAGTTATTGCAATTTAAAGTTTTTATTGTTTTACAACAATTTGAAATTATATGATATAATGTTATAAACCAATTTTAACTTTAATTTGGATTTTAAGCTTCTAAAACTGAAATATTTTAACTTTTATAACTTTTAGCTTTTAATTTCAACTTTATATATATTATAAATATATTTTTTTATATATAAATAATATTGTATATATATTATATTAAATCTAATTTAAGATAATATACAGTGGCCTGCCAAAAATGACCGACCACTTGCGATTTTGCGATAATTTTGCCGATCATTACCAATTTTGTTTTTTGTTTATTTACGTAACGGACTAATAAAATTGCGCCAAATTTTTTTTCCCACCTCTCCCAAAACATTTTCTTCAAAATGTAATTATTGTCAATTTTCAAAAAGCTACTTCCTAAATAAATATGACTGACAAACGCAAAGAGCTCTCTATTTTTGAACGTGGTGAGGTTGTTGGTGCTTGGAAGTGTGGAATTAGCGAACGAGCTATTGTTGAGAAATTAAACCACCCCAAAACGACTATTCATGACGTTATTGAAGCTTACAAAAAAGATGGACTGGAGATGCCTCCACCTCGGGTAGGTAGGCCACCTATACTAACAGAAAGAAATGGGCGTTGTTTATTAAGAACTCTTAAGAAGGATAGACAAGCAAATATTAAAGAACTACATGATAATTTTACACAAACTGCCGATGTAAAAGTAAGTGTAAGGACTGTTCAACGTTATCTTCATGAACAGGGATTTTTTGGGCGAGCTGGAGTCAGAAAACCTTTTGTAACTGAGGCTAATAGAAAGAAACGATTTTCCTGGGCTAAAGAGAGAAAGGATTGGGGGGAAGAGTGGAAAAACATAATTTGGAGCGATGAGTCAAAGTTTGAACTTTTCAAAGGAAGTGGTAGAAGGTGGGTTTGGCGAAGTCCTCACGAAAAATATGATGTAGGGTGCCTTATTCCAACTTTTAAGTCAGGACAAGATGGTATAATGGTGTGGGGATGTTTTACGTATAATGGGCTTGGCCCTTTAGTTAGGTTAGAAGGAAGAATTAATGCTGCAGCGTATATAGATGTTTTGGACGATCATTTACTTGGGTTCATAGATGATTTAGGTGACGAAGAAGAGTATCTTTTTCAGGAGGATAATGCTCCAATCCATACAGCAAGGGTTACTACGGAATGGAAAAGGGATAATGATATTGAAACTCTACCGTGGCCTGCACAGAGCCCGGATATGAACCCCATTGAAAATTTATGGGACGAGTTGGAAAGACAAGTCCGGGCGCGCAAACCACTACCAAAAAATCGGGAGGAACTTTGGTCTGTACTTCAGGAGGAGTGGGGTAAAATCAGAATTCATAAACTCCAAAATCTTGTTAATAGTATGCCTAACCGAATTAAGGCTGTATTAAAGAGCAAGGGTAACCCCACAAAATATTAATAAATGAGCCTTAAACTTTCAAATTTTGCCTTTCGAATAAATCAATTTTTTTATAAAATTCACTTAATAGTTTTTGAGAAAATTAAGTTTAAATTTTCGTAACGATTTTATAAATTTTTTATACCTCGCAAGTGGTCGGTCACTTTTGGCAGGGCACTGTATATATGAAATTATGAATTTTTTTAAATAATAAATTTATTTAAATATAACTTTATATTTCTTAAAAATTATAAACACTATAAATTTTCAATAAAAATGAAAATTTACAATAGAATAGCTATTTCATAATAAAATTAAATTAAGGTATTGCTAACATGACATTTTTAAAATTCTATTCTAATCCTGGTAAGGTAATAACCACTAGTGGTAATATTTAGCAAATTAAATACTGTATAAATATTGCAGATTTACAGCTACTATTTATTAGGATTAATTGAATAATACTAAGTAATAAAAAAAAATAAAAGGAAGAAGTATATAATAAAAGCTGCATATAGAAAAGTCTTTAATTCCATTAAAATAAATTCCTAATTTTAAATTTAAGTCTCTTTTTGATTTATTAAATAATATGACGTGATTTGCATTATATTTATTTTTCAAAAATTATCCTTAAAATCCAATTCCAAAGTTGATTAATATCCATTTTATCTAATAAATTATTATTAAAAAAGCTGGGTAATTTAGATCTATTTAATATACATTATTAACGTTAGATTAGTAATTTGTCATTATCTTTTATCCTCTAATTTACTGGCGAGAAATATACTGTTAAAATCAGGTGATAAGCTAAATTTTTCGGGGTGGTTACTTGATGTCATACCAATATCCAATCCGAAATTTTCACATAATTAAAGGGTCTAACCGTAGAGAATGTTTTCTTAGTGATAAGAATCTTACGTCTGTTATTAAGAGTGAACTCCAAATTTTTGATATAGTAAGGGAAGGGAAAAGGCTAGGATGTCGATTACTCTTACTCAAAATGTTCATTGTCCTGGTATCGATTACCTTGTGGTGATTGATTTCGAAGCCACTTGTGACGAGAATAACACAAATCCACAAACTGTACAAGTGACAAAGGTACTACAAAAATAAAGTATTTTCTTTGTAAGCTCGTGTTTACTTTCTGTCGGGTTTACGGTTGCTTCGGTGCTCGTACGCGTTCTCAAACCGTGTCCTGATATCATATTTGTTTTTTTTTTGTTCTTCAAGAAAGTTTACATTTTTAATGAGATTTATTACATGGTTTGCAAACGTTGTTGGCTTGCTTCTTTACTAGGAAACGGCAGAAATCATAGAATTTGCCTGGGTAATTGTTGATACCAGCACTTTGGATGTGGTTAGTATCGAATTATTCTACTTTATTTATCGTGTATTTTGTTAGTAATCAAAAGTTAGGGATCTTTTCAAATTGGCGCAATTCAATAATATTAATAAACATATAGGTGTATCAACACACTCAATATGTCAAACCAGAAATTACTCCTTTGACTCCTTTTTGCATCAATCTAACTAAAATAACTTGGGAAAACCTCGAAAAAGCGGGTACTTTACAAGATGCCATCACTGCTTTGGACGACTACATTCAAAAATACATCATCGCTAGTAACAAGACGTTTTGCTTTTGCACACACGGAGCATGGGACCTCAGAATCCAATTACCCAGAGAGGCAAGAGATAAACATATCGAATTACCTCCTTATCTGGGTCACTGTAGAATGTTCGACTTAAAACAAGAATATCAAAGATGGCAAGTGCACCACCCAGACGTAATATTAAAGAATAATTCTTTAAATGAAATGTGTGCTGCCTTTGAATTACAAGCGGCAGGTCAACCGCATTCTGGAATAGGAGACTCACTTACTATGGTTAACATTATTCGATACTTTTGTTCCTTCGGTCACCCTGATGTGTTTGTTAATCCCATTGACACCAATGCGGATTTGAACCAATTTAAAAAAGAAGAATCGAAAGTGATTCATTTGGCGGGTTTACCGTACGATGTTACACAAACCGAGTTGGAGGCATGGTTTTCAGGTCAGGGTGTCAGACCAACCGTATTATGGATGATTCGTACACCTGATCATCAAAAACCAAGTGGTTCTGGATTTGCGATTTTTGCGACACATGAAGATGCAATGGCTTGTTTAGAGATGAATGGGAGAACTTTAGGAGATAGGGCTATAGAAGTAAGTCCAAGCAGTGAGAGGGTTACTGAGGCAGCCGGAGCTATATTAGCATCATTTCCGGTATGTAAATATACATTTTTTTAGGTGACAAGAAACCAATCTGGATTTGTCTTTGATTTCACACTTTTTTATTTCGTTAACTGGTGAAAAGATAACCAAAAATCGCCTTCGGCCAGGTGACTGGGTCTGTCCAGCTTGTCAATTCCATAACTTTGCCTCTAGGAGAACATGTTTTAAATGCAATGCTATGAATCCAAATCCTTCTTCGGTACATGGAACACCTTCAAATTTTACACTAGGGGATTGGATGTGTCCGAATCCTCCTTGTAATTTTCATAATTACGCATCTAGAACTCAGTGTTTAAGATGCGGAACATTCAAACCTCAGGGAATGTATGGACCACCGCCGTCAAATATGTCTTTTCGTCCCGGAGATTGGATCTGCCCAAATCCAAATTGTGCATTTCAAAATTTCGCTTCTAGAACCGTTTGCATGCGGTGTAATACCACAAATCATATCGGATATGATGCATACGGGAATCTAGCACAAGACCAAGGAGGTTATGCTGGCGGTGTTAGTCATGGGCCTTCTTCTCCTGCTCCGGCACCTTTCCGGCCAGGAGATTGGTATTGCCCAAGTTGCAACACTCATAATTTTGCTTCAAGATTCCAATGCATTCGCTGCGCAATAAATAAACCACCTCAGGTTGCTGGTAGTGTTGCTGTCACAGCCAACATGAAACCTGGAGACTGGTTATGTGGTAATGAAATGTGCGGATATCATAATTTTGCAAAAAGAACACATTGTGCAAAATGTGGCATGCCAAATAATTCTACAGTGGGCGGAGAGAATGGTTTTCAACAATAATGTTACAAGTATTAAACTTATGGTCATATTAATGTGCCGACTAATTTATGGTTTTTCTTATAAAATATATTATTTTTTATTAGTGTATAAGAATTTATCTAGAAATTATTGATTTAATTGTGACGCGTTAAGAAAACTGTATGTTAAAGGAAAATGCGGACGCTTTAAGTTGAAGAATATGATTAGTGATATTATTTCTTTTTTTCAAATCTGATTTTTTTTTTGCATTCTTAACCTTGTAAATATTCTGTTGAAGTTTCTTTGCGCTATAATTTTTTATTTTCTTTAAAAATTATACTTTATCAATTTGTGATGTTAGTATTTATGGCGCAGTCATTTTGTTTATATCATTTTATTTTTTTCCTTAATTTACAATCTTTGCATCGTCATGTGTTTTGGGGGAAGGATAGCATTATTTCGTGTTTTTATTATTATGAACAAAAATTAAATACTTACGAAATCAAATATTGTTTCGGTTGTTCGTAGTGGAATATATATTTATATCCAAAGATTTCTTGTCTTTAGAAATTTAGTGTGTAACTGTATCGTAATAAATCTTTATTTTTAACAAGTTGCTTTCCACAAGTCATCTTTTAAAGGTAATTGATGGCATTTTTCAATTAACTTTAAAGAAGATTCAACAATCCGTTTATGTAACATTTCAACAGATTGATTAGCGTTTAAAATTTTCCATAAAGAATCGCTATCATTATCTTTTTCTTTTAACATATAAAATATTTTACGAACTTTTTCTTGTAAGGATTTTTTTTCATAACGTTCCTCGCCAAATCCACCTCTTTTTTCAGCTGCTTCAGCCGTTAAATCCATAAAAAAAATTATATCTGGACTTAACAGCCCTCTATCCGGTAAACAACACCAATCTAAGTCCATCCCCTAATATATATATGATTTTTTTTAAAAAGGGTTATTATTTAAAGGAGGAAGAGAAATATTATTTTTATTTGTTACCTTGGCAACTGAATATGAAACGCCAGAATATGCATATCTATCCACAATTAACGTTGTTCCACTAAGAAGTAAATTTTTCATATCTTTCCTACAATAAATAAATAAGAATAATTTTTTTTTTATTTAACTTGCATAAAATCATTTCAATTTTTGCTATAAACTTACATACACTCCCATCTATTTGCAGAAAATAATAAATGAATTGCTTTATCATCTAATTCTTTATCATTTGCTAAATATCCATTAATAATTTGTCCAATTGTCGTTTTTCGATCTTTAAAAAAGAATCGTTAATTATACTTAACTTCATAGTTTTGGTTTAAATTTTCAAATTAAACATACCAGGAAATTTCCAAAGTTCAACAGAATGTCCATTATTTTTCAAATACTCGAAAAGCTTCTTAGCTTGCGTTGATTTTCCTGCTTTATCACAGCCTTCAAAAAGGATAAAAGCTCCACGATTATTTATATTAATAGTGTCTCTATTTATTAAAGACATTTTTTTCGAAATTGAAATGATAAACTATTAATTTTCGCGACGCGTAAAATTGATCTGAAATTCCTTGCGCTTCACGTGTACTCACGTGCTGTGATAATTTTGACAGGTTCACAGGTTCACCTACCTGGCACTGTGTGACCGTAAAAAAAGTTTATCTTTACGAATTAGCAGTTTCTTTGCAAGTATTTTTTTTCGCCTTCACACTCAGATCGCGCTTAGAATTTCCTAGTTTTATCAATGTCTTCATTCTCAATTCCAACCCCGTCAGGGTCATCTGCGATCCCAATTGTTGCGCCTACTTCTGAAAAAGAGCCCCCCAAAAGTCCACCTTCCTCAAAAAGTATCTACTTAAGATCTATATGAATTCACATTTTTCTACCTTCATTTATTAAGTCTAGTTCTTCTTTGCTTCTTCTCGTTATAGATTTAACAGCAAACTCCAAAACGCGAACTTGTAGGAATTTAATTATACATGGATATTGTAAATATGAGGGGAAAGGTTGTGAGTTCAATCACGACTTAGTAAGTTAAATGAGCGATCTTTAAAAGCAATGTCATTATGTCGAAAATTTAACGTAATGATAAAGTGACACGCTTTCTTATTGATCTAGTTATTACAATTTGACCTTGATTCCATCTATATTGTAATAAATTACATTCTTTTATTTTATTTGTAGGGAAAATCGACATCGCCTCCAAACAGTCCAGAAACGTAAGTAAATCTTTATGATCCAGTGATTTTTTGCTATTTTTATTTTCGAAAAAAAATATATTTAATTATAATTATTTTATAATTTATCAGTAACAAATCGAAACTAAGCGTTAATTCTCCAGTTTTTAAACCTTCCGTATTACTTTCATCTATTCCACCAGAAGTAGTGAATGCGCCACCTTTTGTTCCTAAAAGCACTCAAGGTTTGATATACTATCGTATTAAATATTCATTGTAACGGTTTAAGCTTAGATGTAAAATATATTTTATTAAAAGTAAATACTCCTGAAGAAATTTCCGTCACTCCTACAAGCACAACAGGTGAGTATTTATTTATACTTTTGTGTTATATCCATATTTAGTAGTTTAATTGTTTAATTTATATTCGTTTGTACGACTCTGCAAGGTTCACCTCAGCAGAAACATTATTATGATTCTGGAGAGCAAGAATATGATAATGAGTACATGATTTACCGATTACTTCCTTATTTATCTGTCTAATAATTCTTAGTTGATAAACATACTTAATAGCAATATTATTTTCATTCTGAAGAATGACATTATACGAACAGACTTTGGGATTTTATCCTCCCGTACCTCCTCCAACCCCCTTTCTCTTGTCGCCTGGAGGTGTCGCAAATCATGGTTTAAATGCACTTGCCAATTCGTTTGCCTCACTAGGACTTAACAATGTTAGCCACATTCAGTTGATTAATTAGTTTTTTTTTTAACGTATCTAAACTTACTTTACTTTCAATGATTTGACGCGTTACATTTTAGGCGACAAATTTTGCATCTAATGAAAATTCTTTATCAGAAGTTCCGTCACATATGAATAATACGAGCTATTTTACGACTTCACACCATTTGGATCCATTTTTATATCAATCCCAGCAGGCTTTATTGCCTCAGCCAGTACGATAATTATCATGAACATTGATGCGGTAATTTGGTTTTCTTATCGAAAGTTTCGATATATGACTGAAATTGAATTTCAAAAAAACTTTTCGCAGTTGCAATACCACCTATATACATCACCCCTACCGCATGTATCCAATTTACATCCACATCAGAAGACAATTCATGCATTTTTTATGTTGGATCATTTACGTGAAGAATTGCAACGAAAGAATGAATCTACTTTGAAAACCGTGAATGGTATTGTTGTCATAATTTATTGTTATTTAATCATTTTAGTAGTTACTTTCTTTTCACTTTAAAACTTATGTTATGTAGCAAAAGATTTTAATTTACCGGAAGAGCTTCATGTATATCATTCCCTGTATCCACTTGACCAACGCCAAGAGAAATCAATAAAGATTTTTGGATATCCAAGTTGGGTATATAAATCAGTTTGTAGTGTTGATGGTCGTGTTTATTGCTTAAGACGCATTGAGGGTAGGCAATCACTGCATTCTTAATTTTATTCTTGCTTATCTTGTTTAGCAAATATTAATTTCGATATTATATGAATAAGGTTTTCGGTTAACGAACGAAATAGCAATGTCAACAATAGAAAATTGGCGACGAATCAGGCACGCAAATATTGTTTCTATACGTGAAGCATTTACCACTAAGGCATTTGGTGATCATTGTGAGCAGTATTTCATTTTCTTTCTTTCTTAATTTTTGATGCAGTAAAGAGATTCGGTATATTAATTGAATCTAATTGATTTTATGAAAGCTCTTGTCTTTGTATATGATTATCATCCTTTATCACAGACTCTTTTCGATAAACATTTTTCATCATCGTCATTGCAAGCTAATAATCTTCCTCAGAGTGGTGGTACTGGCGTTGTTGTTCCTGAAACAGTTTTATGGAGTTATATAACACAGTTGGCTTCTGCAATTAAAACGATACACTCTTCGGGATTGGCAGCGCGAATGATTGAACCTACAAAAATTTTATCGACCAATAAAAATAGGTAAGATTTAATAATGGTCAAAGGTTTTTAACATCATTAATATTAAATTATTAACTTTAACTAAATTAGAATACGAATAAATTGTTGTGGTATAATGGATATGTTGACTTTTGATGGCGGAAAAAATATCCACCATTTTCAGGTTCATTTTATATTATTATATTATTGTTGAAATTCTTGAGCAAATGCACGATTTTAAAATATTTTCATTTTTCAAATTTTAAAATTTGAAGAATTTTTTTTTATTGATAATTTGAATGTGCATGTTTTATAGAATTATTTAAAGCTAATTATTATTGCATTTAATTAGCAAGAAGATCTTATACATTTTGGACAATTGATTATTTCGCTCGCATGTAATTCACTTTCGTCCGTTCTTAACTTACCGAAATCAATTGATTATATTTCTCGACATTATTCGCCGGATTTTAAGAATGTTATATTATACTTATTAAATAAACCAACTCCAACAAAGTCTGTGGATAAAGTTATAGCTATGATTGGACCTCGAATATTACACGAAATCAATAGCGTTCATCAGTAATTATATATACTTTATCATTGTTTAAATCTTTTTATTTTGTTTTGAGATACGATTACTTTTTCTTTCTAGTTATAATGACTTTTTGGAAAGTGAATTAAGTCAAGAATTGGAAAATGGAAGATTAGTAAGATTGCTGTGTAAATTTGGATTCATTAATGAACGCCCAGAGTACGTTGTATTATTTTTTTTTTTCTTTGTATTTAATAAGATGGAAGAATCCATAAAGTCGTTTGTATATTTCCAATAATGATTAGGTTTGATATGGACCCGAGTTGGTCAGAGACCGGAGATAGATATTTAATTAAATTATTCAGAGATTATGTATTTCATCAAGTAGATGAAAATGGTTATCCCGTAGTTGATATGGCTCATGTATTAATGTGTTTAAATAAGGTAGGTTATTTTGTGAATATTTCGTTTTTTATTTGTAATTGTAAAATTTTGATGTATTGTAAATATTTAGTTAGATGCTGGTGTTGATGAAAGAATAATGTTAGTTTCAAGGGATGAACAATCATGTTTAATCGTATCTTATAAAGAGATAAAAAACTGTATTGATTCAGCATTTAGAGATTTATCAAGGAGGAAATGACATTTTTTAATAATTTTGAAAAAAATAACTTATATGAATTTTTATTTCATAAAATATGTCTCTTATTTTAATATTTATTCAATATCATGTAACACTTAATTTGATAATCGAAAAATCTTTTAAACAATTCATTCCTTTTCTAGTTTTCTTGATTTTTTTTTAATGTATTAGTTAATATTTTTATTATTTTATTTTTATTTTTTTTTTATTATTTTATTATTTTTATTATTTTTGAAATAGTAGAATTCAAAATTAGACAGTTTATGAACTGTATCTATATAAGCTTTTTCAATTTGAATTTGAATTAAAGTTATTAAATTTTTTAAAACTTTTTATTAATTTTTTTCTTTACAAATAATAATATGAAGGATTTCTTTATCAGTGATGAGCAATATGAATGATAATAAATTTACAGGATTTAGAAAAATTTCTTGTAATCTTGATGACTTTTCTTATAAAAATTCTTTTTACTACAATTATTAAACTAGAAATTTATTGTAAAATTTCTTAAACAAATAATTTCTAATAAAAAAACCAACAATAAATTTATAAAGTGAAAAGGATCATAAGCAATAGTTTAATTTAAATAAACATTTGTATTTTTGTTTTTTTTTATACCTCTAATTTTGACTGTATTAATATAAATTAGTAAGCTCAGTAATACGAAAAATGTGATTTATTCCAAAATGTTTGAAATTGTCACAATGGTTTGTAAAGATCCTTACATTTTAAAAATCAAATATAAGAACAAATTTACTAGTAATTTTACCAGCAATCCTATTGGTTAATTGATTTAAAAAGGAAAAAAATCATAACAACTTAGTGTAACATTTCCTTTTTTAGGTGTAATTTATCTATATATAATAGGATCTTTAAAAATTTTCAATAATAAATTTTATCTTAGGTTTTTGATAACTTATGGAATTCTTTCTGCTGGTAACCTCACATTTCTGAACAAAGACTACATTTTTAATGATCCTGAATCAAATTACCAAAGTGCAAATAAAATCAAAAAGATATACACTCCCACTTCAAAAGTTTAGGACCACCTTATTTTTAATAATATTTAATAAATTTTGTTTTTAATTATATAATTTTTTTTTTAAAAAAAATTCTTTATATTGTAATATTTTAAAAAAAATGCAAAATTACTAAAATTACTATATTATTATTTGTAAATCATATAATACAAGGTTTTTTTTTTTATGGTAAATTTTTAACTTTTCAACCAGAGTACAGTTAACTTTTGTTATAACGAACCCTAGGGTCCAGACCTCAACTTTGTTGGAGATCAATAGTAAGTATAATATTAGCATATCAATTTATTGGAGTACGAGCTTCACTTCTTTATTTCACTGGCAGATTTTTAGGTCTGTGATACCGCCTATCCTCTCGTTGTGTACATCCAAGATATGCTGTAGCACAACCTGTAAAAATTTTCTTTCTTGTATTAAGATGTATATCCCGAACCTCCAATAATAACCAGACCCATCTTCAAGCGGTAATATGAAAATATTTATTAATTGGTGGAAATTTTTCTTTATTGTTTCAAGATCACATACATTGGGCTGAAATTCTGGAAAAATGCATTCAACAAGTCGTAAATCAAGCTCTATTTCAAATGCTAATATTACTGGTTCATTCAAGTCTTCTGCATCTTGAAACCGCTTGGAAATTATTTCTTGTACCTCTTCCAAACCATATAAAAGTCCATCAGTTTCACCATCATATCCTGCATAATATCATTTAGTAGCTCAAGATTCATAAGTTGGGAAAAGGGAGTTTGACTGGAATCAGTATTTATTTGAGGAATCGGTTCATTTAAGCCATCTTCAAGTTTCTTTTTTTTTCTGGACTTTTCACGTATTCTTGCGTTTTTCATAACATTTATTGCAAGTTGAATACTCTTTCTGTGGATTGGCACTACAAGGATAGTAAAAATCTGCCTTTTTCTTTATGCATGAACAGTGAGTACAATTTTTTTCATTAAAATTCGGACCAGAATATTCTATTGTATGGACGTTTTATAATTTATGATTTTAATTTATTCAACCTTAATTTTCAATTTTAATCATCATATTAGCATAATATCACGAATAAAATTAATACCTCTCAAATTTTCTTTATTCATTTTAGTTTTCTTTGCGCAGTGTTTTTTAAAGTAAAAATAAGTAAGATTAATCAAATATTTAAATAAATGTGTGTTATACACAAAAGCGTGATTCCCTCCCATTAATAATCTATTTTAGAATGCGAATCGTGAGATTTTATGCATAAATAATTAATAATTTAGTAGTACTGAAACATGTTTTACTGTAATTTTTTATTTCTTTGACTCAGACGAAAGTGTTAACTTCTATTTACAAATTTTAACAAGTCAATATTTTAATTTTACGACTATAGAATATTTTGATATTTACCGACCTGGTAATAGGTCGGATCAGATCGGCTTCACGTGACTGCCACTTTTTTTTTGCCGTGGCTAGGGTTATTTTCCCCTGCGTAACCGTGAAAGTGCATTTTCACGTGATCACTCATTTTATTTATCACCCTACCGCGTTTCCACTTTTTATATTTTCGAGTAAGTAAAAACTTATTTGTCACTCTTTATTCGTCACCTGCACTTTCACGTGCAACTGCATAATGCCGTAATGCCGTGCTTTTTTTCACGGTTACGCAGGGGTAGTTGGCTAGGGTTGTAGATTGCGTCATGAATTCACAAGAAAATCGTTAAATGACTTTGTGGCAAAAATTACCTTCTTGACCCTTCTCGCATTACTTTCTTGACCCAGTCAAAATATGCATGATTATGTATGACAAAAATGTTCCTTTCTTGACCTGAAACGCGATTGTGATAAACAAAAAAGAAATTTTATTTTTTATTTATATTTAACAAAAATAGCGTGCAATCTGTCTTTTGCGAGTTGCGAGCATGGTCAATACTTTTTTATTTCTACAATATTGATAAAATTAAAATAATTTTATTTTATTTACAAAAGATAGCTGATAAAAAGATTACATTTAAGAGAAATACATTAATTAGGTAATATATACTAGCATAAAACTAAATATTAAAATATTAAAATAAAAAAAAAAATAAATTATTTTGTCATTTAATCATTAATGATAAAAAAATTTAATCTTTGTGTATATCTCTTGAAAAATTATGAAAATAAGAAAAATAACAACGCGTTAATGTTTTTTGCAGGTCAAGAAAAGAACATTTTTGTCATACATAATCATGCATATTTTGATCAAGTCAAGAAAGTAATACGAGGAGGGTCAAGAAAGTAATTTTTGCGACTTTGTGAGAATTATCGTATTATATTACTACCTGAATTCCGCACTCAAGAAATGATCCGACGTGGGCAACGACGAATTGGATCCAAGACTGCTCGAGCCATGTGTACATGGTCACATTTTCGCTTTCGACAGCATTTGATCCATAAGGCATGTGAATATCCATGGTGTCAAGTTATAATTTGTACAGAAGAATATACAAGCAAAACTTGCGGATTCTGTGGATATATTCATAAAAACTAAGCGGATCTAAAGAATTTTGCTGTCCCCAATGCAAAACAAAACTTGATAGGGATATAAATGGTGCTCGTAATATTCTCTTACGATATCTCCCAAAAAAGGAAAAAGAGTCCTAATTTAAACTTTGCTTAATGTGGAGTTTTGTTAGTAATGATAGGTTTTAATGTAAGCGCAGATAAACGTTACGAAATATAAATCCGACCAATAAAATTCGTGAAGTCACGTTACCGAAAATTTGAAATTTGATACAGAAATGCAAAGAGATCGTAGAATCGGGATTTAATGTTTGAATAAGGAAACTTCAAAAAAAAACCTAAAATAGCTAAAATAGAAGTGACAGCTCTTTAAAAGAACATTTTACTCTGCAATCATGATTTTAGCTAGCCTCTAAAAACTCTGTAGCACATTTGTAGTGTCAAGATAATACCATGAGCTAATTTTTTATGAAGTATTATTATAAACTACTTTATTAACGTATTATATTATAAGCTAAAGTAATATAAACTTTTTCTCGTTAACGCCGACGTTTAGAGTGAGAAACAGATGTACCATTGCTTGATGGAGTTTCTTTTCGCTATAATAAAGAGGAAGGTAAAATTAGAACTGTACCTAAGCGATTTATTTAAGAGATAAATATTAACATTACTTTTGGCCTTTCGTCTTGTTCCTCTTCATCTCCAGATTCTTTTTGTATAAGATTTATAAGTGTAGTACATCTTCTAGCAATTTCACTCGTTGTCCTTGATTTTATAAACCAATTAAACTTGAACATATCTACACTTTCAATATCACTACGTATCTTTTCATAAACATCATCAGTCCCATATCCATACTTTGCTAAGGCAATTAACAAATATCTATCTTCTTCTTCTGTATATAATGATTTTCCTTTGCCTTGATTTGAAATTTGCAACTGATGTCCTGGTTGCCGATAATACTTTACTTTCGACTTAATTAACTCTTGAATATCAGCTGTTTGTTGTAATTTGGCTTCACCTCGTTCTACCTTACTAATTATTTCTTCATAATCTAAATTAAAAGTAAACGAATAGATAAATAATTATAATTAATTATAGATAATTTTAAGAATACCCTTCCACTTACTAGGTAGTTCGCGATATCGATCCCAAAACACCTCTGCATATGCCCTGACTTCTTTTACAGTTTTGCCTTCCATTTCTTCGGCAATTTCTTCAATTGCATCTCTTCCCCATCTTGCAGATGCATTCACAAAATTATTGAAGTCGCGTTTACTCCAATCTTCAAAAATCTATTTCATTATGATAAAGATTAATTATGTTAAATATAAAAGACTAAAATTTATATTACAAACCTCATTCATTAACCTATCTCTTTCTGACTCTTCGTCTTCAGTGAGAGGTTCAGCTACAAATAACGATTCACATAATTTAATTTAATAGAATATTGTATAATGTTATAATTACAATATATGCTTGCCATTATCAATTCTTTCTTGTTCTTCCTGACGTTCTTGTTCACGTGATTCAACATCATCATCATCTCCTTGCGGTTCTGGTAAGGGAACTTTATAGCCCGCCAATTTCTATTAATGTCAAAAAAAAAAAAAAATTTTATTATAAGCTAGCATTATTATATTAAAAAAACTATCATTAACATACTTGTTGATAGTACATGTCTCTTTTTAATAATTCCACCAAGCGTGGAGGGTAGAATTGATGCTCATTGCTAAACAAATAAAAAAAAATTTAATATAAATCAGATAAAATTGAAATAAGAACAACATAATACAAACATGGTTATTTGTTTCGGTGCTTTTGGAGGTTTGGCTTGAGTTGGTTTAGTCGTAACACGAAGTGCTTCTCTATAATATGAATCAACGGCATAATTGACTTTACGTTCTCGTTTAGGTGGTTCTATCCAATTAAAACGACCTAATTCATTTTTCTTCTGCTAAATATTATATACCAAGTTAATGACTGCGTTTAGAATTAAAGTTAAAAATTAAAACTCACTCTATTACTCCAATCTTCGCCTTGCCATTGATAAGCCGATTCTGACGTAAAATTTTGTAAATCTTCCAATCCAAGACCTTGATATTTAGTTGAGAGCTCGGCTGTTTTTTCTTCGCTTTTGCGGAGAATTTGATCAATGTCATCATCCGTGACGGTACTAAATTTACGGTCAGATTAAAATATAATAAAATTAATTTTCACAACAAAAGAAGTTTAACAAAAAAAATATTATTCTTACCTATCATTTGAAGTGAATATACCTTCCGCACCATGCTGAATCATAGTCAAGAGTTCTTCCTTGGTTGCAGCTATTGTTAAACGTGAATTATACATACAATTTTCATAGTTTAATCAAACCGGATTATTATTTTATTACGAACCCTTTTGCGTTTGAGCCAATCGTCCTTGTTGAATAACAAGTTGATCTAAACGCAACTTTTGTGCTGCTCGTTCTAGAACCTTTTCTTCAATTGCGTTCTATTAAACAAAGAAAGAACTTATTAGTTAAAATTCAGGAATTTTAAATATATTATACTAAAGCATACTAACTTCAGTTACAAAACGGAATACGTAGACTTGTTTTGTTTGCCCAATACGATGAGCACGATCCTGTGCCTGAAGATCAACTTGCGGATTCCTTATAGATAAATAATTAATCAATAAAATAATATAAGATAATTTATAATGGACTAATTCTCACCAATCACTGTCATAAAGAATCACAATGTCGGCGGAAGTTAGATTGATTCCAAGACCACCAGCTCGAGTTGTAAGTAAGAAGATAAACTTGCTACTACCCGGTGCATTGTATTCATCAATTGCAGAGACACGCTCATCTTGTTTTGTTTGTCCGTCAATACGACAGTATTCTAAAAATTGAATTGATTAAGCAATGGATATACTATAATATATAAAATTACAATTATTTATATTGTACAATCGACAAACCATATCCACGAAAAATGCAATAATCTTCTAATATATCAAGGACACGACTCATTTGACTAAATAATAGAACACGAGATCCTTGAGCCTTCAACCGTTTTAGAAGTTTATCTAGCACAATCATTTTACCGGCATTATCAACTAAGTGTTCATCAGTTGTGTAAGGAGGACCAGGCTCCTAATACAAATAATAATAATTAATATTATTCGTTAAAATATTTTAAAAAGAATTTTACGACACATACTGCACCGTCAAAAAGATATGGATGATTGCAACATTTTCTCAATTGCATTACAATATTCAACAATCGTGTCTTGCTTTCACTTTTATTAATAATACCTATATTGTGAAAATCAATAAGTCCTTCTCTGATTCCATGCTCAAAATATTTACAAAAACAAATACATACCATTAACAGCAGCAATATCTTTCTCCAAGATTCGCTGATACCATTTACGTTGCATTGATGACATACCGACATACAAATTTATCTCTTTTTTTGGTAGAAGAGATTTTTCAACATCGGATTTTATTCTTCGCAAAAGGAACGGCCTTAAAACCTATAAATAGTACCACATAGTCGTTAGTATTCATGATATAAGTTTACTAAAATGATATTTAAAAGATAATACTTTATGAAGTTGCTGAATGACATTGTCTTGATTGCCGCCTTGAGAACTAAACCAAGAATCAAAATCTTCTGACGAGCTGAAAACATCTGGTAAAAGAAAGTTTAACAAAGCCCACAACTCATGAAGATTATTTTGTAATGGTGTTCCGGTAATCAATAAACGATTCCTTGATTTAAAAACCCTGACAATCTGCGAAAGCATAGAATTCTCATTTTTTATACGATGAGCCTCATCAATTATTATATACTGAAATGCGAACTTTTTTAGATGCGCTTTTTCAATCAAACATAATTCGTATGATGTTATGCAAACTTGGAAATCTTGAGGTAATAATCGATCATTTATTAATTGAGCCTGTATTAATATATAAACCAAATGATCAATAATCTCATGAAATAATAGTCCAAATTTAAAAACATAATATGTTACCCTCTCATCTTTATTTCCTTGAAGAAGAAGTATATGAAAATCCGGTGTCCACATATTGAATTCTTTCTGCCAATTGTTCAATGTTGATTTGGGAGCAACAACTAAATGAGGACCGGGTATATTTCGATAATGCTTTAAATATCCCAAAAATGAGATGGTTTGCAATGTCTTGCCGAGACCCTTATTTTCGTTGCATTATAAAAAATATATATATATTAAAAAAAAAACACTAGAAATTAAAGATATAAAGGTTATAATTTACCATTTCATCGGCTAGGATACCGTTAATTCCATTTTCAAAAAGCGATATCATCCAATTCAACCCTTGTAGTTGGTAATCACGCATAGTTCCATTCTTTATATCTATAGACAAAATAATTAAGATAAATATCCTAGTATTTTAAGTGATTTAAAAATTCACTTACAATTTGGTGATTCATTAAAGACAGTTGGAACATCCTCTGATTCATCTTCTACATCTTCGAGTAATTCCTATATATAATATAAATATAAATTTAATAAAGTATATAAATTATTAGTAAGAACATTCAAAACTACATGGATGAACGAACCTTATCTTCTTCTTTTTCTGTTTTTCTATGCCGACGAGAGCTATACCAAGAGAAGAACGAATTAAGTACAATATCTTAATGGCATTTAAAATACATAACATTAGATATTATCGTTACCCATCGGAATTTTGTTTTGATTTATTTAACTTTTCGGTTTCTTCAACAAGTTCTTTAAATCCTTCGTCTTTAGATTTCTAGAAAGATAATATTCGATTGTAAATTATCCAATATGGTGTTGATTCTTTTTTTCGCAAGACAAGAAAGATTCATTTATATTTTAATTAAAATCGTATTATTTACCTTCAGATCAATAAAATGCGAAAATAGTTCTTGAAATAGTAAAAAAAATAAAAGCTATAAGCAACAATCGAGAATCCATAACAAATCGTTGCCGATTAAACGATTTAATAATAAAATGATACCTGAATGCCCAAGTAAAAATTGGAATCTTCTAGCAGTATCTTTGATCTGTAAAGAATAGATGGCAATTATCAGAACATTAGAATTCTAAATTCAAGAACAAAACCCTAAAGATGATGAAATTCGATGGAAAATCCTGATGCACCTTTGATTTATTTAATTCTCGTTTATCATTTTCGAAAGCTTCCTTTTGAGCTTTTCGTTCATTTCTTAGGCGGTGAAGTCCTTTCATAGGATTACTTGATTTTGCTAAGGAACTCTGTTGATAACAAAAAGAGAAGGGCTATTTAATAAGAGGATTTCAACTCGATAACTATCAGAAAGAAATAATTAATACCTGTACAGACTCATCAGAATTCTGTCCCGGTTCAGGTTCTAATCGCGCTTCCAACATTATAACGTCTTCATCAGCGATTGTCATATGGTGCGAAATCTTGGAAAGTATTTAAAGAGATTAAAAAAGTCTTAACGTTGACTAATCAATTAATCAAATAGTGAAAGTAGAAAAATAATAAAAGGGTACCGCGGGCGAATCCGAGTGATCACCATTTTCTTTTATAACTTCTGATTCGTCGTTATATTCAAGACTTGTGTCAATATCCATTGAAGACATTTTGAAATGTAAGTCAAAAAGAAACTGGTATTATTTGAACTTTCAAACTGAAGGAGAAAGGAAGTTATTTTTACTTTTTTCTTTTTTTTTTGAACAGAAAATCGCGTATCAGATTTGATTCGGCATTTTTTTCGTGATCTGGTACAATTTTAAATATTATTTCCGTTTTGGTTAGTAATACATTAATATAATGGTGCATTACTATATAAGACGCTAAGACGCGTACTAGCATAGCTTAAATGATGTAATATCATCTGATAATAGATGCATTGCGATTGGGCGATTGGACAAATAAATGGTAATATTTTTGATAAAGAATTTTGTCCAGTAAAATACCAGAAAAAATGAAACTTAAAAAATCATAAAAATTAATTTAGTTTTGGATTGGCTAATTGAATTAAACCAAATTTTATCACTTTTTGATTTTACTATACATAAAAATTTAAAGGTATAACTTTATTACTTTTTCAAAAATCAATTAAGATTAACTAAAATTATCAAATTAAATGGATATTTTTTAATTTGTAATTTAAATTTTAATATAATAAATTTTTTAGTTTTTTTATTATAAAATCATATTAATTAAATTCCTAAAATTTTATTTCATTAATTAATTAATAAAAATCATATAATATATTAATTAATTTATATATAATAAAAAATAAAATAATAAAGTAAATATGAATTGTTAGATTAAATTATAAATATAGTTGTCTTTAAATTAATTTTTAAAAAAATGTAATTTTAGCAAAAATTTTTAAATTTAAAATATTTTTATTTTATTTTTTTATTTTTGCAAATCATTTATTACTGTTTTTGATTTAGTTGAACCTATAGATAGTTCTTAAATTGATTTTTGAATTTCAGCAAGAATTTTGGATTTAAAATATTTTTTTTAAAAAAAAGTAATTATATAATTAATATATTTTAAGTTAAAAAATTTTAAAAAATTTCAAATATAATTTCTGCTATTAAATAAATTAAGTTGTTTAAATGAAAATATCATATGAAATTAAAAATTATATAGATTTTATTGTCATTATACCAATTAAGATTGAAAATCAGGAGCGAGAAATCTCAATAAAATTTATTATTAGTAAAATAGTTTTAAATAAAATTAAAAGCTTTTATATCCAATAAAAATAGACCAATCTAAAATATCAATTTCTAATAATCATTTTGTATGAAATAACCTACTGTATATATATATTTTAAGTAAAAAATTCTTTTATATTAAAGTTTACAATTTAAGCTTCAGTTGCCTGTATTTAAAAAACTTCATAAATTTAAATATTTAAGTTTAAAAATCTAGTAAATGTTTTTATTTCAATATGATATCTAAACTAGATTTGCCAAATTTGGGATCAAAATAATTAAATATAAAGGGAAATTAATAAAGTTAAAATCATTGATAGTCAAGTAGTTGCTAAAAATATAATACTTTATAATGATATTAATTTTTTCCTATATTTCTTAAAATATTTATGTCCAACTACAAAATATTTTAATCTTTTAATTTTGAGTTAAACTGATAAACAAGATTACTAATCTTAAAATTATAGATCTTATTCTTTGGTATATAAAAAATATAATAGTAATAAAAATGTGAAGCTTCATGAATATTTCTGAAATTGGTAGGCATTTTAATGCAAAAATCAGAAAAGAAACCTCATTTAATTCTGGTCTTAAAATCTATGCTTCAACTCAGCTTTTTAGTTCTATTCAATTTATTATTAATTATATTAAGTTATAATTTAAAGATCATACTGACAAGAACCCAAATAATACTAATATAATTCATAAGTAAACTTTAAATACTGAAATAAAAATACATTTTATGATATAACTCTGTCAATATTAAAGCTAAAAATTTGATTTTACTATCATTAGAATCTTTTCATCAAAACAAATCTAATGATATAAATTTTATTAAAATCGAATCACTGGTTGTGTTAAAAACAGAAGTATGTAGCATAACAAAATATTTTAAAAATACTTCTGTAATACGCAACTTTTGAAAAATTTTAATATAAACTCTACGCAAACTCAAATGTGAGTTGTATCAGTATTGTTCAGAGTCCTACTAACAAGATAATTTGTGATAATTATACCAGAAATACTTTAGAAATTTTTAGCTAGTAGAATAGCTGAAAAGCATTTTCCATCAATTAGTATTGATTAAAAGTAGATATAAATTTATAAAAAAAAAATGGGTATATATTTTCAATTACTCTAAAATTATAGCTAAACTCTATAAATCAGGTCTAGATGATATTGAGAAGTTTTTTGACTTATCTCAAGTAGAAATTATATAACTTAACTGTAATTAGTTATCAAGTCTATAACTAATATTATCATCTTGAGTTTCAATTATCCTATTTTTTTAAATAGTTGAGTACAATTATTCATAATTTACTAATTTTGTTACAAAATAATTTCTTTCAAAAAATAATACAACTCACAAATAAACTTTAAATACTAAAGTAAAAATACATTTTATAGTATAACTCTGTTAATATTAATATTAAGAATGTTGATTTTACTATCATTAAAATCCTTTCATTAAGACAAATTTAATGATATAAATTTTATTAAAATTGAATTACTAGTAGTATTAAAAATAAAAATATGTAGAATAATAAAATTTTAAAAATACTTTATAATATATAACTCACAGGTTGAAAAGTGAAAAATCAGGCATCAATCAGTCACTAATCAGTCATCAATCAGATAGCTGATTGGTGACCAATTGGTGCCTGATTGATGCCTGATTTTTCACTTTTCAACCTGTGACTTTTGAAAAATTTTAATATAAACTCTAAGCAACTTAAATGTAAATTGTATTAGTATTGTTTGAAGTTGTATATTTGAAATGTATGCCAAATTAGCAGCATAGCTGCAGCATCACATCCACAATTATATAATATATTTAACCAGAAAATTTATAATTATTGTGTTGCACTAATAAATATATCTACATATCATACTAGATTTTTTCACTTTTTTTCCACACTTTTCCAAAATATTTTTAATTTATTATTTATACTTATTAATAAAATTTAATAAATTTTAGATAAAAAAAATTCAATAAAAATTTGTTAAAAATTAGATAAAAATTAGATAACATATGGGCCGATCCTTGGAATCTAATTTTTTTACACAAAAATAATTTTATTAAAGCAAATATAAATTATCATTTATATAAGAATAATAAATTTATACCAGATAATGCAAAAAAAACTAATTAATTATATAATTTTTAATTTTTTTTTAATATAAGATATCATTAAAATTTAAAAGATCAAATATAACTCTCATGACAAAATCATTGATAATTCTTCGTAGAAATAAGCTATACAAATAAATTTACATTCATTTGAAAGAGAAAATCGAGATCTATCTAATGAATCTAAAATCAAGTGAATTGAATCACTAGCTGTTCAGTAATCACGTTCAGTATATTATTGAATTTTATCTAAATTTGATCATTAATTACTTCACATATAGTGATTCAATTTGAATGATCTTTGCTCCCTAAGGTGATGCCAACTTTTATCTTTAAAATAAATTTAAAATAATTCGTTTAATATATGTAGATGTTTAGGAATCATCAATTATATTATTAATATAAAATTTTATAAATTTGATAAAATCTGATATAAAAAAATTTATTAAATACCTGTAGATGCAAGCTACACGAATGAAATTATATTCATTTGAAAGAGAAATTGAGGTCTATCTAATAAGCCTAAAATGGAATGAATTGAATCACTGGATTGTGAATAATTACGTCTAATATATTTATTTTTAATTTTTAAATTTGATTTGACTTTGATCGTTAATTACGCCTCATCCAGTGATCCAATTTTCCTGATCTTTGATTCTTACGATAGAGCAAATTCTCAGCTTTCAAATGAATGTAAAATGATGACGTTAGCATATCTCCAGGAATAATAATGCACG